AACTCTAAGTCTCATTAATTATTTACATATACAAATATATAATATAATCGTATATATAATTGGCGTTTTGCAACCGTTGAAGCGATTTTTGGCCAAGCTTCACCTTCTATTTTGGTATGCGGCTTGATGTTTTTCCAACGAAACCTACATTAAGCCGCCTCTGCACGGCCGGTGGTTTTTTATGAGGAGCTTTTACTTCATGTCAGAAATACCTCGGGAGGGGTTGACATTCTGTGCCGTGAAATAAGAAAATTTAAATTAATTTTTTATCTAAATTAATTTTCTACAATTTCCGGATGTTGGTCGCACCAGGACTTGAATCCTGATCTTGCGAATGGCAGTACGCAATGCTTACCACTCGGCCGCGATGCCATAAAATATTNACATAATATGACGCATATGATCTTTTTCGTTGTCCATCTTCCATGCGTCTTTTCATTAAGCAACTCAAATCAAAATGAAGCTATTTTATGCTTGATTTACAGTTCGGACCTTTCCAACGATATATAATATGTATATATTTCTTTCACGAGCGCCACTCTCAAACGATTCGAACGGCATCCATGCACGAGCTTATGCACTCATCCAATACAATTCCTGGATGTTGGTCGCACCAGAACTCGAATCTTGGCCTTCCGAATGGCAGTACGCAATGCTTACCACTCGGCCGCGATGCCATAAAATATTATTTATTCTTCCCAACAGATCCAAAGTAAAATGTTTTATGTGATCTTCAGGCATAAAGCTCACTTAATTCCCGTGAAAAAAGTTTTTGTCTGTTACTAAAAATTATATTGTTCCATGATCTTCCAGCTTATATTCTGTGGCTTCGTCTAAGTCATCATTTTATATCAGTTTAGAGCCGAGCGGAAATAGGAATAACCAAAATATGACATAAACCTCATGAGAAGCCTTTTCTTCTCTAGACAAGGCACAGAATTGGTACTTGGCCATGTTGAGCACAAATTTTGGTGTTTAGTTGGTTTTAAAAGTCCTTGCCAACAAGTACCTACTATTGGCACCTTTAGACCAGAACTACGCTGGGTCTTCGTAGGGATTTGTAAGCCTATGATGGTGTATGAAGTTATGGTGTGGCGGAAAGCCACAGAAAAAAAAACATTTCTGAAAACAATGGCAAGAATCTTTTGACTCTCGATGATCAACATCACCAGCGCAGCTGAAACCATATCAACTGCAGGGTTTTATGCGATGTTAAACATATCACCGGTGTACAGCTTTAGCTAAAAACTGGAAATTCATAACTGCCGCCAGGCGGGTCTGCAGCTTAAAGTCAGGAAAAACGTATCACTCTAAGTATGAATAGACTAAGTTGCCCCTCGCTTGACATTCAAGAAACTTCTGACAGCTACATGAAGGCAAATGGAAGGAGGACAGATCTTGGGTTTTCAGACAAGGTCCTACACGTCTATACAGAGCTCTAAAAATCAGCTAAAGAGTGGGGGACGAAGTTTACTGCATCCAACCAGAAATAAGAAAGTCACTTGAGCTGCAGTGTCTTTTAAGCTGAGATATTTGCAGTGCTACCCTAGGAGACAGCCCCACAACAGTGGAGGACTAGTATCTCAAACCATAAACGTCTTGCTTTCACTCAATGCAAGTTGGATGTGGTTGCACTTCGCAAGGAGACATTTTAAAGTGGGAGTAATCTTTAAAAATCACTTAGCGATGGAGCTGCCAATCTTATCAAAAGAAGTAAGCTTACACAAGAACCGTGGTTGTGTCGTCAGACTAACAGACACTGCCGCACCAAAATCTATCAAGGATAGCAGAATATTCAGTTTGCAATGGATTAAGGCCCGAAAAGCTGTATTCATTCAGCTAAGAGTACAACAATGGTCTTTGAATTAGAGACGTAACAGCAAGTCTAGTTGTACGCAATGGTCACGCGAGGTACTGCATCTGGTAACACTATGGAAGAGATATTATCTATGGGAGACTTACCTATTCTGCAAGAAAAGCTTCTAAAATGAACTGTGGTGTTTGACATCATGGCTTTAGACCTGGTAAATTAACCATTGACCAGATAATCTGGAAAAGAAGATCGACACCCACCACCTAAGCCACTATTTTAAAGCCGGCTTCGACAGCATGAATAGGAGCTCCCTTTACGCCGTTTTGTCTAAATTCGATATCTCCGCAAATTTATTCGGCTATTGTAAACTGACTTTAAGCAACACTAAAAGCTCCGTCAGGATCGGGAAGTATCTCCGAGCCGTTCGATATCAAACAAGGTTTCAGACAGGGTGGCGTAGGCCGATGATATTGACATTTTTGGCCTGAACAACCGCGCCGTGAGTTCTGCTTTCTCCAGAGTGGATAAGGAAGAGCTCTGATAGTGAACGAGGGCAAGACAAAATATCTTATGTCATCCATCAAACGTTCATCGCATTCACGACTTGCTTCCCACGTTACAGTGGACAGTCATAACTTTGAAGTCGTATATAACTTCGTCTATCTTGGAAGCAGTATTAACACCGACAACAAGCCTGGATCATCAAGCCTGGAAATCCAACGCGTAATCACACTTGCCAACAGGGTCCGGATGGATAAAAAATACTCCGGCTTTGAAAGTTTTCGATGATGTAACTCTTCGTTTGTTCAGCATTCGGAAGCTCGGCTTTGTCGACGAAGTAAGGCTTCAATGGAACCCCGGAAGCCAATCTTGTTGAAATTTCATACTTAAGAGCAGTTAGTGAAACCAGATTCGACTTCTTTTGAGAAAAATTATGTCCGATCTGACATTTGATAGTGCTCCGTGAGGATTGTAGCTGTTCTCTAGTTGCCTTCTCCTCAGGTTAGAACTCTACAGATATATTTTTCCGGAATTTCACGATTTTTCAGATTGAGTAATCGTGAAATTCCCTAGGACGTGTATGATCGCGGTTTATTTGGCCCTTTGGTAATTCTGTATCCGCGTTCTGTGTAAGAAGGAGTGTTTTCAGTTCGATTGTAGCATAGATTTGCATATGAGGCTTTGTCTCTTAGATACAGAAGTAGTTTGAGGAAACCTCGTGTGGAAACTTCAGTCGATTTTTAATAACACCGGAATGTCGACGAAGCTGAATAAGATTTTCATAGAAATGAGAAGTCTTTCCTGATACTCGTTTCAAAAGAAATCATTTTAGTTACTCCAATCAACTCTTGGGCGAAAACTTGAGGGAGGAATATTTGGGCATCAGAATTGTCAGCAATACCGGATGCCAGTTCATTGGTGTGACTAATAAAGCTTTTTTTTTGGCCGCCTTATTTGAATTGATCAGCTGCTAGGCCATTGTCTGTCGCCGCTTTTTATTTCTCCAGGAGGGCAATCGCTATTTGCTTTATCGTCAGCGAATGGAGATTTGGGTTCGCGATCTTCTGGTGCTTCACCAAAAGAGTAAGGGGGAATACTTTTCTGGCACTTTGGACATTAGTTACCAGATCACCTTTTTTGGATTCAAGCTCCTCATACTCACGCATTTTGACAACTCACTTTTTCTGTCTGCAGATCTGGGGATTTATCCACACCAATATGGTAATTCTCATCGTTTCAGTTCTTCTGCCAACCTTGTCGAAATCTAATAGTTTCTTTGGCACCTGTAAATGGAAGTGGAAGCTTGAAATTTCGTTCTGTTCCCTTATACCGCGTTGCTGATGAGTGCACTCAGATAGCAGAAGGGTAAATCGGTAAGAAAATCCTTTTACTGTATGACGTGAGGTTTTCAGTCTTCCTTAAGTTTATTGCCGAACGTTCTGTGCTGCACAGAGTTGGGCGCGTATCTTTGCTGCTGCACGGATTGATGTGTACGCGTCTTTAGGGCACTGGCGATATGTGGTTTGTCTATCACATTATGATCGATCTAATGGTGAGTTTTTCGATCTGGAGACAGCCAAGTAGCTTGTGCCAGAGTCTAGAACTATAGAAAACAACATTTCATCGGTCGGCGAAGTCGAACAGCATCCTCTCATTTCGGGAATACTTCACCATGGACGTTTACAAACTTTTGTGAAACCACGTTTGGGAGTCCACTGCTCTCTGTAGGATATTTAACGGATTGAAGGGTTCGTAGGATGGTTGCTGCCTGATGGTTCTTCGAAGTAGACATTAAGGGGCCACTTTTCTTCTGAAGATTACGTTATGACTTAAGTATTACAGAAAATAATACGAAATCTTGTGTGGTTCTTCCGTCTTTTGACGAAATCTTTGCAAGTTACTTCTAAATTACCCCTTTTTTGTAATTCATAATTCGTTGTTTTTTTTTTTTTTTGGTGACAGCACAGATTACTCAACTCCGCTTAATTTAATTCACATAAATATTTTAAAATGAATTTATCTCGGAAGAGCATTTTGGTGAACATTTTATTTTTTCAGAGGAAGTTGTGGGTGGGGAGGGGTTGGATTGTGTTTCCGTTTTGAAAATTTGCATAAATATGCATCCATTTGTGGTTGACGCGATTTAGAATACACTCCGCTCATAACAAACTCTAGGAACGGATCTAGTTGGGGGAAAAGCTCTAAGTCTCATTCATTATTTACATATACAAATATATAATATAATCGTATATATAATTGGCGCTTTGCAACCGTTGAAGCGATTTTTGGCCAAGCTTCACCTTCTATTTTGGTATGCGTCTTGATGTTTTTCCAACGAAACCTACATTAAGCCGCCTCTGCACGGCCGGTGGTTTTTTATGAGGAGCTTTTACTTCATGTCAGAAATACCTCGGGAGGGGTTGACATTCTGTGCCGTGAAATAAGAAAATTTAAATTAATTTTTTATCTAAATTAATTTTCTACAATTTCCGGATGTTGGTCGCACCAGGACTTGAATCCTGATCTTGCGAATGGCAGTACGCAATGCTTACCACTCGGCCGCGATGCCATAAAATATTTGTGTGGTTCTTCCGTCTTTTGACGAAATCTTTGCAAGTTACTTCTTAATAACACTTTTTTGCTTATAATTTATAATAATTTTCCATCTTTTCTTAACACATTACAGGCTACACACACTCGGATAGCGAAGACTGTTCAGATGATGAAGCGACGAGTGGACAAAACGACTCCAATAAGGATAGCTCTAGTAATTGTGGTGGTGGAAGCTCAAAATCACGTCGTAGACGCACCGCTTTCACGTCCGAGCAGTTGTTGGAACTGGAGAGAGAATTTCATGCGAAGAAATATTTGAGTTTGACGGAGAGAAGTCAAATAGCAACAAGCCTTAAACTCAGTGAAGTGCAGGTGAGAAGGGAGTTGTATATGAAAATATAATATTGATTTTATAAGCGAGATTGGAGACTAGAACTGCATGGCTAAAGAAATTGAATGCATAAAAAATGTATGGAAAGAATCTAACTAATAATTTATCTTTTCTCTCTTTCCCTCTCTCTCCCTTTCTCTCTCTCTCTCTCTCTTCCCTTTCAATTTAGGTGAAAATCTGGTTTCAAAACCGTCGCGCGAAATGGAAGCGTGTCAAAGCCGGTCTAACATCGCACGGTCTCGGTCGCGGCGCTGGCGGTGGCACGAAAATAGTCGTACCCATACCAGTGCACGTCAATCGTTTCGCGGTGCGTTCACAACACCAACAATTGGAGAAAATGTGCCTGAGTGGTCCGAAACCTGATCTGCGTAAGAAAGTGCCCACGGAGCTTAGTGGCTTTGAGAAATTCAACGGTGCCAATGGCGTGGTCGCTAGCCTGAGTAATGGCAGCGCTGCTGGTGTTCTTAGTGCAACGGCGACGCCGGCAGCATTAATGGCGGCAGCGAATATGGCGGCCGCGGCAGCGAATGGTGTGACGGCGGTGGGTACATTGGCTTTAGCGCGGAGTATTTATTAAGTCGATTCGGTTCAATGCGCCATTTGTTACACGCAAATTATGTGTGTACGAGTATGTATTGTATATTTAGTTCTATGTATGTTACTTTGAGATTTTAAATTAGTTTTTAATTGCTTAATTATATTTAATTTATTTGAGATTTTCGATTTAAACGATTTTTATTTAAAAAAAACATTGATTTCTCTCTTGATTGTAAGCAAATGTACATAAAAATGAAATAATTTAAATAATAAGATAAATTAAACAAATTAAAGAGGAATTAAAGAAAGAAGTAAAAATGGGAGTTTTTTAATGAACGCTGAGCTGCAGCGCCTAGTCTTGGTTTACCTATTTCTTAATGAATGAGACCAGCCGAGGAGCAGACTGAAATACTGCTAATTGCAGGTCGTCTCTCGAGCGCGTCGCGTATTGCCCTCAATATTCGGTCAGCAGAGCCTGTACAAAGCGCTCCGAATACGCGGTTGCTGTTCTGAGGCAGAGTATCGGAAAATACCCGAATGAGTCCATCCGTCATTGCTACGAACGATTGGAGCTATGTCCATCCACATTACGGAACATATTGCGGGATGTATAATCCAAATTGGGCGAGAATTGCATTCGTACGATCATCAACCGCATCCCACGTACGGTGAATGGGCACAAAACGAGATGACCACCAAAAAATTTCCCACTTGGAGTGATGAGCATCCACAATCATTGCTTAGACGCCGTTACATCCTCAAAAAGTCACTGTTTTGGTATGCTATGGGCAGATCATTCATCCATATTTATTCAAAAATTCAGCCGCTCGTAATGTTAAAGTCGATGAAGAACGTTTTAGAGCCATGAATAATGACTTTTTCGTGTCTGAATTGGAAAATGTTGATGTGAACGTACTTTGGTTCCAACAAGACGGCGCCTCATGTGATACAGCTAACATAACATATTGAAGGAACCGTTTTTGTCCGTAACATTAAATTATAGCGTTTTATACTCTCTTGAAACCACGTGTCTTAGAAACACCTTGGCTCATCATTACCGACGGGCTCGAAGAGTCTGAACATGAGTTACCTAAGAGATCGACAGTAATCGGCTTAAAATCAAGGTCACTACTCCATTGGAATATTAAGTGAGGGATTTTGTAGGATGGTGTCCTTTCCTCGCCATTATTTGGCTCTACATTATGAAGGTACCTTTACTACCAGAGGGCGTTTTCTAGATTTCATATGGCGCAGATTGGCATTTGACTAAGGCACTGATAGCAGTTGTTCGAAGGTAAACAGATATCTCTCCGAGCTTTTCCACTTCTTCACTACATGACATCTACGATCACGAAAACCAGCGGGATCATTCATCTGCAAGGAAGAAAGTTACTGGATGTCACATTCGATAGCCAGCCCTCCTTCACACTGCATATGTCTGGGATTGTTAAGTAAAGTACGGCACCGGAACAAAGTTATCGAGTCACTGAGCTAAAATACGAAAAATCGTTGCTCGAAACTTACAATTAAGTCAAACCACACCGAGGACTAGGGAGACTTAGATGAAAAAGCTGCAAATCTGTCAGAACACAGCCTTAAGGAGCATAACAGGAAACGTTCTGAAGTCTTAATAGTCTATGCTATGTAAGCAATATCTGCTGGAATATTACGGATAAGGATCATCATAGCAAGCAGGTTTCTTTTGAAGATGAATGACCCCACAGACACATTAGAAAGGGATTATTTAGCTTTATAGATTACTCTCAGCGCCGTATCATAAAACCACTGGACAGGTTGTTGTCAGAACGTTCATTAACTCTTTTCACATGAATGGCGGATTGAGAATCCAACCACCACCAACGGCTGACGAAAAACGCTATTTACCTCGTGAGATCCGCATAATTAAATAATTAAGGTGTGGATACTGCAGTGGACTCGTATTGTACTTATCCAGACTCGAACCCTACTACTTAACGTATGTCCAGAATGCAATGACTCCCTGAATGAGACTAACCGTCTGCCAATTAAAACCTACTCATCTAATACTCCTCGCCCTCTGGTCCGATCTCGCCGAAACATCTCGTTGGATTACCTAGAAATCGGAAGACTAGTCTAAAAAGAACTCGGTTATTTGCTATTTTTACGTATACTTGTGTATATATGTACTCGTGTTGTTTGCATACACTTCGAGAAGTTAGTAATATTAACTATTTGTCTATGTTGTTAAGGTGGATTGATTTCGCTAGTCATTCCTTCTTTTCCCTGTTTTGTGGTAATTGGTTACGCCAAGTAATGGCAGGTCCATCTCCACTGGAACAGTCGCTAAAACGTTTTATTCTCCAAATCTTCCGCGAAACCTTGCCGTCTAGTACTTCCAGACACAGACTGAGGCGGATATTGAAAAAAAGCAACTTTCGGGTCTTAATTATACCACCTCATAGTCCGTTTGGAACTGCGTTACTAAGGAAGCAACTATTGAAATCTAATTTTGGCGTTGGTGTTGAATAACCGTTAGAGCTATTTTCGTCCAAGCTCCTCGTCCAATGTTTGGTGCGCATCTCATGTTTTTTTCCACAAATAGAGGAGCCAACAGTTTATTTTAAGCCGCCTCCGCCTACGGCTGGTGGACTTTTATGAGGAGATCTTTTATTTCATATCAAAATTTCACCCGAAGTCGCTGAGATTCAGTGTCGTGGGGCGACCGCAATTAGAAAAAAATGTTTTTTTAAATTATTTTTTTAAGATTTCAGATTTTGGTCCGAGGAGAAATCAAATCCGTGCCCCTCCGCATGGTAGCACACAGTACGAAATGCGATGGGCTTGAATGTTTGTTTGAATTGTCTATAGCGCTTTTGGGTCTAACATGCTAGCTTCATAACTCTGATCACGGAATAAGCTGCACCCTGTTGGCAACCTGCTCCCCTACCTTCTTATACTACTCGATGTAAGCTAATAAATCTGAAATCTCTTGCTCTTCGACGATCTATCCAGTCATCAATATTTATTTCTGACATCATCAATGGTTTAGTGCACTGTCCAGAGCTGCTTGAGCAAACAAGCTTTAGTGTTTTGTTGAGCAATCTCTGAATTTAATAGAATCTCTAGAAGCTTTGATCTTGATTTGGCATTTCCGAAATCTTTTTATAGCTCCATTCTTAATGCTTTTTATTCTTAGTATACACATATAGTTTTAAGTTTTAAATAAATTTATACTTCTAGTCTGTAAGATTTGTAAATCATTGCCTTAAGTGGACCCCCCCTGGTATTAGATTAAAAAAATCGATTTTTTTTACACAAAAAAAAAATTAAAACCATATATGTGTAGAGTATGTATTTAAAGGAATTTTGCAATACGATGAAGATTTTTTTAAATGAGAGCTTCTCGAACCCACATCTATCTCACGCACGCTGCGAACTTTCAACAAATTTTGAATACGTTTTTCTCGAAACCCTGTTTTCCGATCTAACTTCAAGCCCCGAGCTTGATCTATTCTTCCGATTTCTTTTATTTACAAATTTTTTGAAAATATATAGTTTTTTGCGCGTCTTGAGCCTAAGATTAGCATTAATAATTGATTATTTATATTTTCTTAACGATATTGAAGTGAAAAAAGGAGCAAAAAAATTTAATCTTATAATTGCAATGAGGATTATGCAATAAATTTGTCATTAAAATTGTTTCAATTGAGTTTCAGGACGAAGAAATTTTTATAATCTTCAAGTAGTGATAACGATTTTTAATTACAGTCTACTACAAGAGTCTGTAGGCTTGAAGTTGTTGCCCTATGTTTTTTCGCGCAGAGGCCAGTGGAGAGCGCCATTTTGAATTTCGACTATTTTTTTGTCGTTTTAAAATCTCAAATAATAAACAAATTTAATAGTCAAAACCGGAAGTTCGTACGCCTTCTCATTCTCACTCAAAAAAAAAAAAATACAAACTTTGCCTGATTTTTGCCCAAAATGAGGGGAGAGTCCCCTTAATAAATGAACTGAATTGAAAGATACTTTGGGATTTCCAGGACTGCCATTTCTATTTGGAAAAGTCACCTTACCAAGGTTTGTTTATACAACTTTAGTAAACGTCCACTCGAAGTATAACTTTATTGGGTTAACCTTTGAGTGGGAGTTAACTCTTTGCTATTGATAACACTTGAGAAGTAACAGTTCCTATCTTTTGAAATATTCTGTACAAAAAAATTTCCAAAAACACACAACAATTGGTGGTAAAGTAGGAACACCAATCCATTGAAAGATTCAGGTGAATAATGAGTTGGTATAACCAGGTGTTTTGAATATGTGGCAAATCGCAAGATGATTCTTGCACAATCGGCTATAATTTCTTAAGCTTTGTCTGCGTCTATTAAGAAGAAGAACACCTCAGTGCTGACGCAAGGCACTCTGCGAAACAACATTGATTGCAATTAACCTCATCCATTACAACAATTACATAGCCACTCACCAGAATTTATCACGCACCACAACCCAGCCCAACTGGACGATAATCGCCTAGGGGCCTCAAGAGCAAGTAAATAACCCGAAAATGCTGAAAACTGCACAGTTTGTGCGTGTGAATTGGTGAAGAGACGAAATGAGCAAAGTGAGAAGAGAAAAGTCAACTGTCAATTTCACACATCGAGAGTCCATGACGAATGGTGCAATTTAACGCACCAAATTGTAACAATTCACAATTTGAAGAGCTGATAAACAACAACAGCAACAACAACAAGAACAAGAACAGCAACAAAACTAATGAAATTGAGGCAACGAAACGACTGACTGGCAAAGTGGTCGGTAAATATGCGTAAAATATTCACATACATACATACATACATACATACATACATATATACAAATGTACATGTACATTAATTGACAGAAATTTGTCTGATTTTATGCTTAGAAACATACCTACATATGATACATACATACACACGTACAAACGTGTATTCCACAATTTAGGCGCTCATTTACAACAGCAGCATCAGCATCAGCATCAGCAAACAATCACTCCAGGTGTCTCACGTGTCACGCCCCAAAACGATACAAACGCAGCAAACTGCCACCAGATTGCTGTTGTTAAATAGTCAGTCAGTCAGTCGCTCGCTGTTTAGGGTGCACCGCAGCCAGCGACGGACAA